CGTTTCGTGGCCCCATAGAGGGCCCCACCGAAGGCTCCAGTGACAGGGTTCGCATGCGTGTTCCCCCCCCAGTACAGCGTTTCGTGGCCCCATAGAGAGCTCCACTGAAGGACCCAGTGGCAGGGTTCGCATGCGTCTCCCCCGCCCAGTACAGCGTTTTGTGTCTCCACAGAAGGCCCCAGTAGCAGGGTTTACATGCGTCTCCCCCGCCCAGTACAGCGCTTCGTGGCCCCATAAGGAGCTCCACCGAAGGACCCAGTGGCAGGGTTCGCATGCGCCTCTCCCGCCCAGTGCAGCGTTTCGTGTCTCCACAGAAGGGCCCAGTGGCAGGGTTTACATGCGTCTCCCCCGCCCAGTACAGCGTTTCGTGGCCCCATAGGGAGCTCCACCGGAGGACCCAGTGGCAGGGTTCGCATGCGCCTCCCCCGCCCAGTACAGCGTTTCGTGGCGACAGAGGGAGCTTCACCGAAGGCCCCAGTGGCAGGGTTTACATGCGCCTCCCCCGTCCAGTACAGCGCTTCGTGGGCCGATAGGGAGCTCCACCGAAGGACCCAGTGGCAGGGTTCGCATGCGCCTCCCCCGCCCAGTACAGCGCTTCGGCGTCTCCCCGTCCAATACAGCTTTTCGTAATCCCATAGGGTTCTCCACCGAATGTCCCAGTGGCGCAGTTCGCATGCGTCTCCCCCGTTCAGTGCAGCGTTTCGTGGCCCCATAGGGAGCTCCACCGAAGGTCCCAGTGGCGCAGCCAGCATACGTCTCCCCCATCCAGCACAGCGCTTCGTGGCCACATAGGGAGCTCCACCGAAGGTCCTGGTGGCGCAGTTCGCATGCGCCTCCCCCACCCAGTACAGCGTTTCGTGGTCCCACAGGGAGCTTCACCGAAGGTCCCAGTGGCGCAGCCAGCATTCGTCTCCCCAGCCCAGTACAGCGTTCCGTGCCCCCATAAGGAGATCCACGGAAGGCGATACTCATAACGACGGTATTCACAACTGCATATGGTGGGGTCCTTCGCCAGGCTAAGTTTCTGAAGGTTCCTTCAGGCCAACTCGAGTCCTCCAAACTCGAGCCTTGCGTCCCTGCAACGGGATCATCCTAAGAGAGCCCCAGGAGGGTCCCAAGAGGCACCCCAGACATCAAACACAGTGCATCGCCCGGCAGCCATTTTTGCCTGTGGCAGGCTGGTTTCCAAGGGCACTTTCTTTCGGGAAAGGGCTTCTGGGGAAACGGCTTCGTGGACCCGGGTGTCTGAACCTGGGCGCAGGCGCGATGGCAGCCTGCCGCGGTCGGGGAGCCTCGCCGCCCCCCCGTGCTGCTGACGGTGCACGATGTCCTCATTGCGCGGGCACCGCGCCAGCCTTCCACGGCCAGGGATCCGCGCCGCCCCCGCGCTGCCGACGGCCCGACGAGCCTGTCCAGACGTCCCTCTCTCCGCAGCTGGCCAGGAGAGGCCCCCGCGCCCGACTGCCGACCACCTCCAGTCCGCAGGCGTGGGCGGAAGCTCAGGAGGGGAACAAACACACACACACAGACACAGTTAATCGTCGATGCCCAGGAAAATAGGGGAAAATATGGGAAGTGGGGGGGAAGACAAAGACCCAGAAAATATGGGAAGATATAGGGAATCCTGTTATTTGTGTGTATTTATTGGTGCGTCCCAGGGCCCCTTCAAGGGGGAAGCGCTGCGGCGCTGCTCTTGCCTGCTCGGGCGGGCGGGCCCCTCCAGTCGACGCGCGGCGGCGGCGCCAGTGTTGGACCCTGTCTCCGCCTGGCAGTCATCAAAGACGGCCCAGGATGACGACGCAAGGGAAGACCAGGGCAGACCAGACCAGGCAAGACAAGACGAGACGGTGCCGGACGAGAGGAGATCTGACCCACATCTGACAAGACAAGGCAGGCATCCTCCAGGTCGGCCCAGGATGGCCCAAGACGCCCTCTAGAGAGCCCGAAGAGGACCCCAGTACGTCCCGGAGACGCCCCCCCCCCCCCCCAAGAGGCCACCGAGAGGCAAGTGTCAACCCCTGTCTTTTGTTTTGTGTATGCTTTCACATGCTCACCTTCTCGGGCTCCAGGGAGTCAGTGCAACACGTTCCAAGAGGCCCCCAGGATCCCCCAAGGACATACCAGAATCTTGAAGGCAGTCTTCAGGTCAACCTGGCATGATCATTCGAACACACGTGTTTTTCTCCAGATAGCGAGACTGTATCGCACCACGCTGGAATGGGAAACGGTTTGTGCACTCCATCCATAGCGGCGCCGCCGTGGCGAAGGCTACGCTCACTGGGTGTCGGGCGCTGGCCGCACCCCGAGGGAAGCGCCTTTCTGCTTGGCTTTCGGCGTTCACTGGAGGTGCATGCGTGACAGGTGCGAGAACATGCCGCAACGGATGCGGCACTTCGGGGCGTTCTCGGACGCTCTCTGCGCTGCGTGGCGTCTCCCACGATTGGAGCACAGTCCCCGCAGTCGACCAGACCCGGTCACAGGCAATGTCCGCGAACACGCCACTGACATTGTCCCGTGCTTACATCTGCACCGCGAAGACAAGACGTGGGACCCCGTAGGCCGGCGGCCGCAGGTGCGGGTTGACAACAGGAGTGTGGCGGACCTCGTGAATGGGAGAGCGGCTCTGGCCGACGATTCCTTCGGCCAGTACTCGTGCGCATTATGAGGAATCTTGCCGCTTTGAGCGAGCGCGGTTGGCTGCCAATGCGGGGGCATCTCCCGCTCGTCCGCTTGAGGCGCAGGGGATACAACAACGAAACGGACCATGTTGCCAACCATGTTTCAGAGACGCAAGCATCATGGGAGTGGCGTCCTGTTGATCACGCTCCAGCCGGGGTGGCTAATAGATTCTTCCTCTGCTGCGACGGCGGCTTCGCGTCAGAGCGCGGTGCTGCCGCGAGTTCCCTCATTGAAGTTCTTGCTGGCACCAGAGGCACGCACATGCGCAGCTGTCACAGCGCCTTCAAGGCCGAAACAGTGGTGCTCGACGAAGGCTTAGAGGCGTTCCTGTCCGTGTGCAGGTAGATCTCTTCCTCCTCCTGCAACTTGGTATGCCAATTTCCGGAGTAGCGTTGCAGCATCATTTTATTATAACGTGCGCTTCGTGAGGCTTGGCACGCAGGCGAAGACAAAAACGGTGTAATGTATTCTTTAGAGGTTAGACGGGGCTCATGAGAAACCCCAAACAGGGCCCGAGACGGCCCCAGATTTTGCCGGCAGTGCCCTCTCCGGGTTCCAGAGGCCCCCAAATCCGTCCAAATCTCGAAGAAGGCAACCATACATTTTTTCCCATCAAGATGGCTCCCAGAGCCCCAATGATAGGCCCCCATGAGACCCGCAGAGGACAGAAACCCCTAAGAGGCACCCCAAAGACCCCTAAGATGCCTTCGGTAAGCCTCCAAGCCCCAAGAGAACTCAAAAGGCTTCAAACATAGTGAGAGCTATCGCAATTCCATCCATCACGACATTTCGACACTCTTTGCGTGGCTAGGCGGGGGGAAGTGTTGTGGCCTGGGGGATGCGGGTGCCAGGGGTGAGTGGAGGTGGATCAATCTTTCTTCCCGAACCGGAGCAAGAATAAGTGGCTACTTTGCACGATCAAGCCTCCCAAAAATTTGTAGTATGCCCGAAATGTTTGTGATATTCTAGAATATTATTCGGCATCGTGCGACATTCGCTTCAACTTGGATTCGAAAAAGTACCTCAGGGCTTCAGGATGTCCTCGGAGACCCCGAAGCAGCCCCCAATTTGGCCCGAGGTAGCCCCAACATGGTTTTGGTGCAGCCCAAAAAGGTGTCCTGAGGGGTCCTACACGGCACATGATATCCCCGAAAGGGCCCACGACGGCCCTTACAGGTCGCCAGTGCGAAAGCACAGTCATTTCCACTCACCCACCATAGCCCACATCATCACCCTCCTTCCTTCCTTCGCTTCCTCCTGCCTTCCGCTTCCCCCTGCCCGCCATTTCTTTTGTCGGCATGGGCGAGACAGGAAACGGTATGAAGAAGCAGTGGGGGCCTGGGTGGGGCCCTGCCGCCCTTGCACAGGTCTTGAACAACATCGGTCTCGCATGCGCGAAGATGCAAGACTTCGCTGGGGCGTACGAGTGGTACGAGAGGGCCTACAAGCAGGAAGCCGAGCAGGGCGGGCCTTTGTGCTCCCCCTCCTGTGAGTGTGTGTGTGTGTGTGTGTCCTCGCCTTCCCCGGGATTTTGAGCCACCCTGATTGTCGCTTCTGCGTTCCGCGCCCACTCGTAGGGTTTTCCGATGTACCGGTGTCCATTTTGGCTCTGTGCACTCGCCGTTGCCCAGGGACAGGCAGCGATCGTGCATCGAATCGGCAAATCCATTAGCACGCACATTTTTTTGGTGGTAAAAAAGAACGTTTTTTTTGTTGTTGTTGTTGTGTGTGTGTATGTGTGTGTGTGTGTGTGCGTGGGTGTCTCCCTTCCTCTTTCCTCTCCCCTCCCCCTTTCCCCTCCCCCCTCTTCGTCCGCCCTGGCGACTGCCATCTGGCGAGTGATGTCGCGTGGTCCCTTACGCGGGGGGGACCTGGCATCTTCCCGCTGCATGAACTGGGCTGGCCCGCGCTGCTTCCGATCTCGGCTGGCCTTCGACTCCGCTGCGCCGCCGCGCGCGTGGCCGCGACGCCAAAAGTGTGTGTGTGTGTGTGTGTGTGTGTGTGTGTGTGTGTGTGTGTGTGTGTGTGTGTGTGTGTGTGTGTGTGTGCGTGCGTGCGTGCGTGCGTGCGTGCGTGCGTGCGTGCGTGTGCCTGCTTACTCGCAGGCACATTCGGGTTCCCGGCCACTCAGCCCTGTTGTGATTTCCTTGTCTTCGTGGTATTGTTCGTGAATGGCCCGCCTTCCTTGTCATCTCGTCTCGGCCGCCTGGCTTCACGGTGTACCCAGTTGCCTGCCTCTTTGTCGTGCCTCATACTGCACCCCGCCACCCCGCTACCCATGCCCGGGTATGCGCAAGGCATGGTCGATCCCGTTTGGATACCCGCCCCACCATCTGAGGGGCCGGCCCCCCGCGCGTTCTCGTTGCCTGGATATTTTCTCCTCATCATCTCTGCGCGCGAGGTCGCGATCGCCAAAAGAGTGTGTGTGTGTGTGTGTGTGCGGGTCCTTTTGCATGTGTTCGTTTGGTCTTACAAATTTTCACGCTTCGCGTATCCCCACCAGCAGCTCTCCACGGTTTCTTTCGTGGTGCCCCGCGCCATTTTGGCCGCGCTGCAGCTTGGCTGCTTCTCGCACTTGTGTGTTCTGCTGCTGTTGGACTTGACGGCCCCGGCCACCCTGGTACTTCGCAGCCTGCCAACGCTCACGCCCACACTGGGCACCAATTCGACTTCCGTCAGCCGGTTCTTTTGGCTGCGGCCACCCTGGTACTTGCAGTAGTCTGGGGGCTTGCGCCCTTGCATCCAATTACACGTCTGCTGCTGTCCCTGGTCGCCGGTCTTCCCGACTTCCTGCAGCTTCCGACGCGTTGCATACGTGCACCCTGGCAGTACTGGTATTCAGCTACAGCCAGCCCTTCCAATTCTGCGTGAGGCTCCGCCCCGCGCTTTAGGTTAATTCGTCGTTGCGTGCCCCGCTTTGACTGGACTCGCCGCTGGCGCGCACGCCTGCGGCCACTGACTAAAAAAGTATCCCCACCAGCCCACGTTGACCAGTTCTGGCTAGAGTGCTTGCGTTTCCCTGGCCTCTGGTCCCCAGCCACCGCCACGCCTGGCCGTGTCTGCAGCTGCCACTGGCATGGTGGGACGCGCCCCTACTTGGATTGCTCAGGAGTGGTTCAGCCTTCTTGGTCAGCCATGTGTGTTTGTCCTTGTTGGCCTGCAGCTTGCGGCTGCGACCAAAACGTATTCCCGCCAGCCGATTCAGAAACCCTGCCCACGAGAGGTGGCGGGAGAATGACGAAGGGACAGTTCTAGGGAAACAAAGCGAGCAACCAGGATGAACCGAGATCTCTGGGAGCAAGGGGGTGGCCTTGGAAGGCCTCTTCGGGCCATCCCTGGGGGCCGCGTGGGGGCGAGGGAGAGGAGGAGGAGGAGGAGGAGGAGGAGGAGGAGGAGGAGGAGGAGGAGGAGGAGGAGGAGGAGGAAGAGGAGGAGGTGGAGGGATCCAAAGAGTGTGATCCCTGGTGCTCCTGCTGCTGGTGGTGCTGCTGATGTTGTTGCTGCCTCTGCTGGTGCTGCGGCTGGTGCCCTGGAACGCCTGTTGGGGCCGTTCAGGAGAGCATCGGCCCCCTCCCAGGAACCCTCAACATCGCCTCTTGGAGCTCTCCTGGGGCTCTTTCGGAGGGTATTGGAGCTCTCTTGGGGCTCTTTTAGGGATCTTGGGGCCCTCTTGGGGCCCTCTTGGGGCTCTCTTGGGGTCCTCTTGGGAGCCCTGGAAGGCCTCTTGGGGCCATCTTGAAGGCCATCGATCAAACCAGGATGTGAGATAACGTTCAGCCCCCCCCCCCAAAGAGGCCAAATTGGGGCCAAAACCTTAGTAAAACCAATGATTTAGGCGCCCAGAGGGCTGGTGGGATCACGTTCAGCCCCCCCCCCCCCAAAGAGGCCAACATGTGGCCAAAACCTAAGTAAAACCAGTGATTTTGGCGCCCAGAGGGCTGGTGGTGCAACGTTCGCCCCCCTCCCCCCCCCCAAGAGGTCAGAATGGGGCCAAAACCTTAGTAAAAGCAGTGATTTTGGCTTCCGCGCCGAGGCCGTTTTGGACGCCATGAAATCTCGCGGGGCCCCAGCAAAAAAAGTCCAGGGGAGGGGTAAGGGGAGGGGTAAACCCCTCCCCGTAGAGGAAGAGGGCTTTTTTGGAAGAGGGAAGAGGAATCTCGTGAGACCACCTGTCGCCCAAAAGGCTGGTGGGATTCCTCTGACACACCCATCGCTTGCATTTTTCAGTGTACGGCGTTTGTACGATGCGCTATCGACAATGTTCGTTCGCACGTCGCACTTCAATCTGTTGTTCGCGGTTGGACCGTTTGCGCCGCTGATTTTCAGAGTGTGTCTTGTTGCCGCTTCTTGCGATCCGCAGGGTGTTCCCTTTGCGTCGGTTGTCGCTCTGGCTCGCGGGTCCCGCTTGCTGGCGCCTCTCCCCGCGCTGGCTTTCCCCGCCGCTGCAACTCACTTTTTGGGCGCGGCTCTCGCCGCACCACCGCCCGCCTAACTTTGGCGTGCTCGTTGTCCGCTGCCGCCTCCGCCCCCCCACCGCTTCGCTGCCGCGCCGCCCTGGCCCGGGCGCCCGAGCCGGCCTGGCCCCGCTGCGTCTCTCGCCGCCCTGGCTCCTGCCGGCTTGGCTGCTGCCCTACCATTGCCCCGTGAGGGGCCGACTGCTTGCCCGCGCGCGCTCATCGAGCGAGGTTTGACGGCATGGCAGGTCGCCAGCTTGACGTTCGACAAATGTGTGTGTGTGTGTGTGTGTGTGTGTGTGTGTGTGTGTGTGTGTGTGTGTGTGTGTGTGTGTGTGTGTGTGTGTGTGTGTGTGTGTGTGTGTGTGCAAGTGTGTAAGTGTGTATGTGTATAAGTGTGTATGTGTGTAAGTGTAAGTGTAATTGTACATGTACGTGTAAGTGTATATGTAAGTGTAAGTGTAAGTGTAAGTGTAAGTGTAAGTGTAAGTGTAAGTTTCAGTGTACGTGTAAGTGTAAGTGTAAGTGTACATGTAACTGTAAGTGTAATTGATATATATATATACATATATATATATATATGTATACATGTGTATATATCTTTATATATATATATAGAGAGAGAGCGAGTGTGTGTGTGCGTAAGTGTGTACGGGTGTAAGTGTGTAAGTGTCTAAGTGTGTAAATGTGTAAGTGTGTAAATGGTGTGTGTGTGTGCGTGTGTGTGTGTGTGTGTGTGTGTGTGTGTGTGTGTGTGTGTGTGCGCCCCCCGCACCGTTTGGTTCAAGCCGAGTGGAGCCGGGCCGGCTTGCGGGCCGCGGCCGGGGGCCTGCCCTCGGCCTCCCGGGGCCTCTTTCTCCGCCCTCCCCACCCCCGCTCCGCCAGGCCATGGCGCGGACAGCGACCGCGTCCGCGGCTGCCGCGACCTCTGGCCGCGCGGCGTCGCGATCTGCGGTCCGCCGCCGCCAGCGGCGCGCCCCTCCCGGTATGGCGCCTTCGCTGGGACTGGCTGAGGCTCTCTGGTCGCCGCTGAGGCTGCCGAAGCTGCCGGCGCCGCCGCTGGTGCCTTGGGGGGCCTCCGGCGGCGCCGGCGCGGCGGCCTCGCGTGCGGCCGCTGGGCCGCTGTGCTCCAGCGCGGCTGTCGCTTGCGCCGGTGCTGCGGCCGCCTGCGCGGCGGCGGCTGCCGTCGGCCTCTGGCCGGCCGCCCCGGCTCTGGCGCGCTCTGCCGGGCTTGTCGCCCCAGCGACCAGTGCCGCTGCCGGTGCGGCCTGGCCGCGCCTGCCGCTGCTGCTGCCGCTGCCGGCTGCCCGCCAGCGGTGGCGGTGGCGGACGGCGTGGTGGTCGGCTTCGCGGCGGCCTCTGGAGCGCCGCCGGCTGGCGCGCTGCCGGCCGCGGCGGCGGCGCGGGCGGAGCCCGTTGCGGCTTGTCTGGATGGGGCCCTGCGGGTGGCCGAGCGTTTGAGCGCTTGAGCGCCAGGCGGCGGCCGTCGCTGCCGCGGCGTCCGGCTGCTGGGGCCCTGCTGGGCTCGCTGCGGGCGGGAGTGCGCTGTCATCTGCTACGGCCCCCCGATCAGAGCGCGCGAGACGAACGCGCGCAGCGAGATGCTGGGCGTGGAGCTGGAGCCCGCCATCATCTGCTACAGCGTCCCGATAAGCGCGTGCGAGACAGGGGGGCAGTGGCAGCTGGCCCTGGCGTTGCTCCGAGATGTGTTCGGAGCGGAGCCGGGGCCCGCCATCGTCTGCTCCAGCGCCCCCATCAGCGCAGGCAAGTAGCAGGCAGGGGCAGTGGCAGCCGGCCCTGGCGCTGCTCAGCGGGGCATTGGGAGTGAATCTGGAAACCGCCACCATCTGTTGCAGCGCTCCGATCAGCGCGCTTGGGGCGATCGTGCGCGGCGAGATGCTGCGTGTGAAGATCGAGCCCGCCATCGTCCACGACGGCGCCCCGATCAGCGCGCGTGAGAAGTGCAGGCGGGGGCAGCGGCAGCCTGCCCTGGCGCT